TAGCCAAATTGGGATGATTCGAAGGCAGAGCTTTTTCGAGAATTTGATGTGATTTTTCATAAAATTCAAGTGCTTTCGAGTAGTCCCCTTTGCCGGAATACGCCAAACCAATATTGTTGTAGGAAACAGCCAATTCGGGATGATTCGGAGGCAGAGCTTTTTCTTTTATTTTATGTGCTTTTTCGTAAAATTCAAGTGCTTTCGAGTAGTCACCCATGTTCTTATACACTCCACCGATGTTGTTGTAGGATTGAGCCAAATCGGGATGATTCGGAGGCAGAGCTTTTTCTCTCATTTTAAGTGATTTTTCGTAAAATTCAAGTGCTTTCGAGTAGTCACCCATGTCGTCATACACGAGACCGATGTTGTTGTAGGAAGTAGCCAAATCGGGATGATTCGAAGGCAGAGCTTTTTCTTTTATTTTATGTGATTTTTCGTAAAATTCAAGGGCTTTCGAGTAGTCTCCCATGTTCTTATACGCAAGCCCGATGTTGTTATAGTAAGCAGACAATGTTGGATGATCTTCCGGAAGAATTCTTCGGTTAATTTCGAGGGCTTTTTCGTAAAACTTTATCGCTTTTTCGTATTGACCCTGTTGCCATTTCACGCTACCTAACTGGTGATAGATATCTGCTTTATCACTGTCGTTGGATGCTCGTTCTAGTAGTGCTGTATATAATTCTTCAGCCTTGTCAAATTGATTTATTTTGAGCAGCAATTTACCCATTCGAACCCATCCAGTGCTGCCCGATGTTTCTTGTCGTATACGATCGGTTAATTGACGCAGTTGTTGGTCATCATCCGACGTAAGTTTAAGGTCCACTTGATAAAGTGGGCTTTTCTTGTCCAGTTTTCGAACTTCATCAATTCGAAAAACGGTGTGCATGGAGAAGAGAATTTCCTCTTCGTCCTTGTAATAACTCACCTCCTGGATGGAGGCGAAAGGAGTCGATGAGACAGTAGGATCTACTGTCATTTGAAAGAGGATGCCGACCATATCGGTTGTTCCTAATGCATCTTTGGCGAAACCGAGGGAAACATCTTGTTTTGTACTGGTGGATAAAAAGTTGTTGAAAGATATGAGACCATCTTTGTTTTTTGCAAGTTTTTCGAAGTCGCTTGTCGATAATCCTTGACCCCTATAAATTAGAAAGGACTTTCCATGATACTGACTGACCTGTTGGCTGTGTAATTCTTCAATTTGTCGATGAACATCACACAGGAAAAATCCCATTTGGATGATAATATCACCATCCAATGTTCTTAATGCTCGATTGAGCATTTTGTATGTGAAGCATTGGCGTGTATACCACCATAACGCCAATGTTGGATGGTAAGTACGTTGAAATTCATTGATTAACTTGAGTTCTTTGGTATTGCCTTCGTATTGTTCTTGACAATATGTGACCAAGTCTTTTATGGCTTTTTGGCCATGTTCCATATCAAGGAGTATTTCCTTGAATATTTGAGTATACATGAAGGAAGGCTCTAGCTGATTGAGATTTTCGCTAGAACCTCCTTCATTGACACCGATAATGCTGACTGTTACTTGATCTTGATTGCATTGTTTGACAGCCAGTGCCAATTTTCCACAGATGTGCTTGATTGATGTATGCACACCTTTAATTTTGGGCCAATTTTTAGCCCATTCTTGGTGGCGTTGTTTGTTGCCACAAAAGATATATATGGCATCTAATTTTGGCATGCCATGAATTTCTGGTACTAGGTGTTGTCCTAATGTACCCGAGGAGATGACAAATGATGTCTCCTCGTTATTTTCCTGGAGTTTTTGGATACATTGTTCGGCCGTGGTGCATGGGTTGACTTCATTAACAACACTGCGCAATTGCGCGAATGTATTCTGGCAATCTTTGTTTGCCATATCGATACTACCATCGGCCCAGATGACCAGGTAATTTTCAGCCATTCGTGGTCGTCGTTGTCTACTCATTTTCGATGCAATTTGTGACGTCTGCTCGACGATTGAATATTGTTAAGGATCAATTGTTGTTTGGATAGAGACCACTGTTTTCTATTTATAC